GGGGTTTGGGCCGGGCTGTTGGCTGGGTTCGGATTCTCCTCTTGACGCCGGTTTCTTTGCGGACGTTGAGGTCTGCAGACAAAGCTCCGTACTGGTGCTAGTTGTTTTTGCGTGTGAAACCTAGGTGCGAACTCGTGCTGCCATGGTTCTCACGACCGATGAGCGCAGGGAGCTGCGCCGTTTGCTGGATAAGATGGATTCTGCAGATGGCTTGGCTTCGACTGCCAATACTTCTATGACCGATGGGACCAAGCGTCTCAGAGATGTGGGTGGATATCCAGAGGATGGGTCTACTGCATCAGGTTCTGCTTGCGGTGCCCAGCTGCCGATTTCAAAGGGAAGCGCAAAGGGTGTCGTGAGCACGCCCAAGTGTTATGAAGACCTCGTCGATGCCTTCGAGGGGGAAGAGTTTGGGGAGAGTGACAATGTGATTGTCGTGAGCTATGCGGGTACTGAGGTCACCTCGGTGCCACTTCCGAGTGATCTCTCCGTGGAGGATTGGGGTCGAACAATCTGCGATCTGCCAAAGGTCCAGAAGAATAAGACTTGGTTTAAGAAGTCCTATGCGGCCTTGGTCAAGCTATCCAAGGAGGATAGCGACCTTGCAAGCTATCTCAATTGGGTCAAGGAGAAATTTGGTCGCAGTTACGATCCGACGACCCCATCCAGTCAAGCCTCGGACCTTGCGGGGTATTTGATGAGGATTGGTTTTTCAAAGCAGAAGGGATTCCAGCGCAAACTGGCGGAGGAGTGAAATCCTTGCTGGATTGCGGAAGAGTTCTTTATCAATTTGGGAGCATGGGTACATGTATGAGCGGTGAGAGCTGGTATTCTCAAGGATGCCTATGTGTATATTCACTGTTAGAAGTCCGTTGGGCTTCGCTTTGGGTGATATCCTTTCTGGCATGAGAGAAGAGCTGGCTATCTGGCGCGAGATTTTCCAATACCTGTGTCTTCGTCGCTTCGCATGGGTTGCAGCGTGGCTACATGGTTGGCAATGTTTCAATGTGTGCTTGGTGTCGAGAAGTGCTTGTTTTGGACAGCAGCAAGGATGAGAGATGATACACACATCGAAAGGGGGTGTGAAAAGTTGTACCTGCGCCCTGTGCGCTTCCTTCGGTGCGGGGGTTCTTTTCTAAAGGTTCCTCCCCTTCTGGGCCCCAGGGTTCCCCTCCTGCCTCTGCTGCTGCCCCGGTGGTTCCCCCTGTGCCTTCCTCTTGGGGTTTCCTTCAGGGTTCTGCGCCTGCTACTGCCCTCACTTCGGTTGAGGTCCTAGCACCCAAGGCTCCCTCTCCCCTCGAAGGCTCTGGGTCCCCTTCGGAGGTTTCTCAGGCCCAGGCTTCCACAAGCCTTGGTTCGTCACGTGAGGCCCCGGCTCTAAAGGCTCCAGGCTCTGCTCCCAAAAGCACCCCTGCCTCCAAGCCTAAACCAAAGCCCCGGCCCAAGCCTAAGCCCAAGCCTTCCCCTCCCTGTCCTTCTGTCACCAAGTTCTTCCGCTAGCTTCGGCTCAAGGAGGGCACCATGGCGCCCAAGGGAAAGGGCCGCCACGCCCGCGAGCAGCAGGAGCGATGGGACCAGACAGGGATCTGGCGCAGCACAAGCTCCCTGTCCAGACGCAAGTTGCGTCCGGACAAGGCAGCACGCGCTAAGGCCAAAGCGCGCCAGGAGCAGGACCGCGAGAGGGTGCAGGCGAACCCGCCTCCCGCACCACCACCTGCTCCTCGCCGAAGGGCTGAGGTCGACGACGACGATGACCAGCCTCTCCCCTGGTCACGTCGCGTGACGAACCGAACGACGGCCAGCAAGTCGTCGGGATCTGCCGGCCCCTCGCCCCCTGTGGCTGAGGTTGCAATGGAGGTGGAGTCTACGGACTCCTCCTCGTCCTCCTCCCCACAGCTTGCCCCAGCGGCAACGGCGACCAGGCCGGCAGACAACCCCCCCCTCCCACCCCCCGTCGCCAAGCCCAACCCCCCCCGCCCCCCCGCCAAAGCGCAAAGATCCGGATGTGCTTTATCTCGAGATCGAAACAAGGCGGGGGGGGCAGGGCGATTGGCATCGCCTCACGCTCAACCCGCTCTCTTCGTTGCAGTTTCTCCTCGGAGAAACGTCGCGACTGGCGGGTTTTACCTGCCGCAGCGCGAGAATATGGCCGGACGGTGGGTTCCTCGGAACCCACCGGGCCGTAGGATCGCAACTCCAGCCAGGAGTTCGATGGTTGCTCGTGGACGAGCATGAGATCGCGGCTCACGACAGCCCGCATCTCGCGGTGCCGCCCTCGCCCCTGGTGGCTGAGGTTCCCCAACGAGTGGTGGCACCTGAGCTCCCCCCAGCAACCTCCTCGCCTCCGGCTGAGGTTTCCCTCCCCTGTGCTGCTTCCCTGGCCACACGTGGGTCTTCTCCGCTCCCGTAAGAGCCTTTCCTCGCCTTCGGCTGAGGTCGCTTCTGTTGCCGAGCAGAGGGGGGCCAGCCCTAGCTTCCCGAACCCCTCAGGGGTCTCGGGCGACGAAGCTACGGACTCTCCAAGCTCGTCTCCTCGCCGGCCGGCTAGAGGTCCGGCTCCAGCTGAGGCACGTGAGGAGCCGCCCCACGTTCAAGTTTTCAGCGAGAACTTCCTCCGCTGTTTTGCATGCGGGGTCGCTACCTCCAATCAACAACTGATGGAGGCCCACGCCATGACGGCGAGGCACGTCCGCCTCACCACGGCCTACGTGGCCAAGCGACGGCGTGAACTGGCAGCGGCAAAAGCTGCCCAGCCTCCTGTGCCGTAGGCTCTGAGCTTCTGGCACTCTTCTCCTAAGGCACACCTCTGGCTCCTTCCTCGCCTTTTGGCTGAGGTTCGACCCTGCAGCGGTGCTTGGGAGTGCCCTGGGCATCCCTCGGTTCTTTCCTCGCCTGTTCGGCTGAGGTCTGCTCCTGAGGCAGCTAGCCCGCGCCCCGGTAGAACCCGCCTGTACAGTCTTTGGTAGGGCCTACCCCTCGTCTGAAAACGACTGAGGTTGGCGGGTGTAACTAGCCACCTGTAGTCCAGGACGTAGGGCCGCCCTTGCCCAAAGTGGCTGAGGTTCTTCTCACTTGCATGAGAATTCATCTTTCGGACACGTCTACGACGGCTTGCAGCCCGGCGCAGAAAAGTTGTACCTTTGGCTCAAGCTGTTTGGCAGCTTGGAACGCTCGGGCGAGACCTGTCACTGTCTCACGCTCACTCCCTCGCCGACGTGGGCCTGCACAGTTGCTCCCATCGGCTTGAGGCCTGTGTTTGTGTGTGGCTAGTGGCCTGCCTAGTTCCTCGCCTCGGGCTGAGGTTTCCCTCGCCATTTTGGCAGAGGTATGCCTCACCGTGCCTACCACGTTTGCAAGCGCTGCCAGAAAGCCTGGGTGTGGGTCGACGAGCTTTGGAAACACCCCACCTGTCCGGCCTGCCAGGCTCGGTTCCCGAAGGCTCCAAGCCCAGGTAGTGGTTCCTCCACACCGACCCAGTCACCCACCAGGAACCCTCGCAAGCGCGCTCCCCGCTCCCGTAGGCAGGTCACCTTCTACGACGAGGCTGAGGTTGGCGACTTCTTCCCAGACGACATGCCCACCCCTCGCCCAACGAAGGCCCAGGATGATCGCTCCAAGCGCAACACCCGCATCCTTAAGTCCCTTCGGAAGGTGTGGGCTGATCTCCCGGATGAGGCCAGGACCCAACTCAGCGATGCTGGCTTTGAGGCCCCGCAGACCTCTGATGTTGATATGGAGCCAGACCTCTTTGCCTTACTCCAGAACAACGTGGAGCGGCTCCCGGAGTGCATCCGCCAGGCTTTGCCTCCACCCCCCCCTGAGCCCACCCCCGACCCTCTCAAGGAAGGTCGTGAGTCGGGTAATGCTCTCCGTCGTTCCATCTTGAAGCTCAAGCAGTTGGGACAGGAAAAGCTCAGGCTCCAGGAGGAGATCAACAAGACCAAGACTAAGCTCCATGACCTTCTCCGCGGCATGCAGGAGCTTCAGGAGGCCATCTCCGAAGCAACCGATGTGGCCAGGAAGTGCTCTGACACCTATGAGAGAGGAGTCCTTCTGCACGTCCCCAAGAGTGAGGTAGACTTAGTTCTTGAAGCCTTGGGGCTCTCTCCCGAGGCCCTCACGGAGGATCAAAAGGCCAACCTCAATGCCCTGCGAGCCTCGATAAAGCCACCTCCGGACATGCAAGCTCCCCCTGGCCTCGGGCCCACGCCCTTTAAGTTCGGCTCCCCTCCTCCCCCAGCAGGTGATGGACAGGCCAAATGGTGATCTTACCGAGGAGGCCCCTGACGGCTCTGCGGAGAACCCGGGGGCTCGCCAGGTCGGCCTTACCGCCCCGCCGAAGACCCGTAGCCGCTCACCCTCTCGAGTGCCTTCGGCCTCTGACGCTGCCAAGGCGACTGGTTCGTAGGAGGGTGGTAGTCCGGGGGCGGATTTTTGGGGGCCTCTTGGTCCAGTTTCGTTTCCCTTTGGCCCCAGCTTTCCCGCCCTTGACCCCGCACCCTCCCTCTCTCAGGTTCCCTCCCGCATACCTCCTCCCCTCGGCTTAGCCGTTTTGGAGCCTGAGGTTTTGGGCAGGTCCTTCTCCACTCCGCCGTCGGGCCAACTGCCTGTGGCTCAACTCTTTCCGAGCGAGGGGTACTGGCACACCTCTTTCTTTGAGGAGCCATCGGCCTCCTCCTCGGCTTTTAACTTCACTCTTGATGGCCCAGGTCCGGGAGCTCTCCTTCACCCTCAGGTGTTCGTTCCTCCCTCGGCCGGTTCTACCCTCTCCTGTCGAGGTTACACGCTCTTCTCGACGGCAGCCCCGGATTCTTTCTCTTGAGTCCTTGGTGGCGCCACCCTCTCTTCTCACAGGGCCGGCTTACTTCCCACAGGCTTTCGCCTCGGACCCCAGCCCTGCCTCGACCTGGTGCCCTAATTTGGTCCAGCCCTCCGGCCCATCGAGCCGTCGAGGTGCCAGGCGTGACAGACGGTCCAAGCACCGTCGCCACCGGCTCCACATGCCGGGCCTCTTCACCCAGCTCCAGGTCGAGATGTGCGACCAGGCCCTGAATCCTGCCTCCTCGGTTGAGCGCGACCTTGTTGAGTTCGCTTCTAAGGTCGAGGATGCTATTTCGCCGGGTTCCTCCGAGGAGTGGTTTTTGGAACATGCCCTTGATGCCATCCATGATGACGCACCCTCCCCCGCTAAGTGGCACCTCCTCAAGCAAATGGCTCAGGTTCTCTCCCTGCAACATAATACCCCCCACAGCCCCGCTTCCCTCAGGCTCCTGTCTGCCAATGTTACTCACTGGAGGCCAGAGGTTCGGGACTGGGCCTTCTCTCTTGAAGGCCATGGGGTTCTGCTCCAGGAGCTTCACCTCACCACGGAGGCTGCTCATGAGGCTGCGATTGCCGCCTCTAAAAGAGGGTTTCGCCTCTTTACCTCGCCTCCCTTCCTAAGTGATAAGAGGCGCCCCCTGGGAGGTTTCGGTGTCCTCATCCGCTCCTTCCTCAACCCCCGTCATGTCCTCACCCACACCGTTGAGGGTTGTGGTTTCCTGGCAGTTTCGCTTCGGTGTTCCGGTTTTGAACTCACTCTGGTTTCCATTTACCTCCAGTCCGGTACTGGCTTTAACTCTCCGGTCAACGCCGATGTCTTAGCTCGCCTCTTAGCCTTTCTTCCTTCCCTCCGGGGAGTGTGGATTGTCGCGGGTGACTGGAACAACCCCATACACGATCTCCTCGCCACACGGCTTGAGGAAGTTTCCCATGGGCGTTTCCTGGGTTCCGGTTCACCCACCGCTGCAACCGACCGGGAAATTGATTACTTCCTTGTCTCGTCTCCGGCTGTTGCTTCCTTGACAGTGGCTCAGGACTGGGTCGTCCCCTTCAAGCCTCACTGCGCCCTGCGGGCCACTCTTCAGCTCAGCTCTCTGCAGCTTCCTTACCCGCAGCTTGCTACCTTTTGTGAGGTCTTTCCCGACCCTCTGCCCTTTCAACCCTCGGTCCCGAGCCCCTCGCCTGTCGCTGAGGTTAATCTTCTTGGCCTCACTTCCACCGACAAGCTCACCCTCGACTTCGCCGAGCTGAGCTCCTTCCTTGAGGTCTCTCACGGGTTCCCCGACCGTGGGCGTGGGGCCTTCGTCCCCCTTCTTCACAAGCCTCTCGTCCAGGGCCACTCTGTCACTTTTGCCTGGAAAGGCCAGCTCCCCTCCTTGGTGTCGGCCGTGCTTCACCTGCTCGACCGGCCCGAAGCTGTGCAGTCCTTCCTGTGGTCCACCTCGGACACTTCCCTCCCCTCGGAGGTCCGAGCCTTTTGTGACCGGGTGCGAGACGGCTCCACTTCTTCCGCCAACCTCCGCGCCGAAGGCACCGCCCTCCTTGGCCAACTCCGGCGCGAACAAACTGCCCAGCAAGCTGACCAGTACGGCGAGTGGCTTGAGGAAGCTTCGGGTTCACACCTGGGGCCGCTCTTTCGTGCCATCAAGTCTCACGAGCAGGTGCTTGACCGGCCCTTTCAGGACTGCGATGGACTCCGCCGTGTCTTCGAGAGGCACGAGCATTGGGGCCGCGTTTGGCATGCCTCGGTCTTTCCTCAGCACTTTTCGCACCCCCTCCTCGCGGAGCTCCGCTCGAGGGCCATCTCCCATGCTGGCACCCTGCCTCCATTGACTGTCCCCAACCTTCAAAAACTCCTTAAGAAAGCCGGGAAAAAGAAAGGGGGCCCAGACGGTTGGAGCTACCCAGCCCTTCGTGCGCTGGACCCGGCGGCTCTTCAGCTCGTCGCCGACTTCCTCGCCCGTGCTGAGGCTGAGGTCCTCCCGCCTTTCCAGCTCACTTGTGTTCAGGTCGCTCTTCTCCCGAAGTCGGCCGACAAGGAGCGTCCCATCAGTCTCCTCCCCTGTCTGTGGAGACTGTGGGCCCGAGCTAGGTGGAAGGACGTCGCGGCCTGGACGTCGGCTTACGCCCCCGACCATCCATGGGACCGCGCAGTCCCGGGCCAGGCCAGCCTTGACACGGCGTTGGCCCGCCTTGTCAGGTCAGAGCATTCAAAGCTCGAGAAGACTCACATCGTGAGTCTCTTCCTCGACTTGCGAGGGTTCTTCGACTCTGTGAGCTACGAGCGCCTTCTCCTCCAAGGGCTCGCTCACCGTTTCCCTCCTCTTCACCTCTGGTTCGCCCTCCAAGTCTACCAGGGTCCTCGCTGTCTCGTGGCCGACTCGATCGCTGCCACGCCGCTCTTTCCTGGCCGGGGCGTGCCCCAGGGCTGTCCCCTCGCACCCTCGCTTTCCAAACTCACCATGTCTGAGCCACTCCAGAAGGTTTCCTCCCTTCCCTCCGTCACCAACACAGACTTATGGTTGGACGACGTGAGTTTAGATGTGGTGGGTTCTGACCCTGTTGAGGTCGCTTCTGCAGCTCTCCAGGCCTACCGGGTTCTTCACGCCTCCCTCGGCCTTGAGGGCCTTGAGGTTGAGACAACAAAGACCAAGTTCGTTGCCGGTACGGTCCGCGCTCGCGCCGCGCTTCAGCAGCTGCGGCGCCCGGGCGAACCCGAAACCGCTGACCTTGTCAAGGACCTTGGGCTTGACTGCGCTGCAGGCCGGCGGCGGCGCATCACCGCTGCCCAAAAGCGCTTCCGCACCGGCATCGGTCGTGTCCGCCACATGCGCCGCCTCCGCATCCGCCGCCGGTGGGTTCGGGGCCGGCTGCTCCAAGCCTCCGCCCTCAAGGCTGGCCTTTATGGCCACCAGGCCGTTGGGGTTGCCCCTAAGCGCCTCAAGGTTTTACGCTCGGCGGTTGCGCGCGAAGCTGGCCGTTTTGAGCACGGCTCTGCCGACGTCATTCTCGACCTCATGTCCCACACGGCCGTTGACCCACACCAGCTTGTGGTAGTGGAACAGCTTCAGGCTCTTGGGCGTCTTGCCTCCATCGCCTCACCCGAAGGCGTGCGGTTACTCACCCGCACCTGGGCCTCCTCATGGTCCAGACAGGCCTCTGCCACGCATGGGTGGAAAATCGTGAACGGCCCCGTGTCCGCGCTCATCCAGTACTTGCTGGACTTGCGGGTGTCTGCCCCCACCCCTGAAGTCTGGACACACCGCGAGGCTACCTTTCACTTCCGCTTCCGCGAGCCAGGAGCGGTTTTTGAGGCCTCCGCCTTCCTCCGGCAGGTCATTCAGCTCGAGCGCTGGTCCCGTATTGGCGCCGTCTCCACCGCCGCCGGTGCCGCCCCTGGCATCGATTGGACCGTGCCGCGCCGCCTCTTAGCCAGTTCTCGGACGAAGCCCTGGCGGCACGGCCTTAGGGCCGTCTTTCAAGGCGCCCTCCTTCACTCGGGCAACGGAGGGAAGGACCGGTGCAAGTTCTGTGGAGAGCCCAACACCCTGCACCACCTTCTCTACGAGTGTGAGAAAGTCCCGGGCGCCCTCATGCCCGCAGGCTGGCTGTTGTCTTATAAGAGGCGCCACCCTGCCGAGTGCCTCTGGTTGCGCGGGATGCGGCCCCTCAACACCCGCGATCCCCTCGCCCACGAGGCTGAGGTCCGACGCACTGGTCTCTTCCTCGAAGGCACCCCGGACTTAACTGGGCTTTTCGTTGCCACCGACGCTTCCGGTGGCCCTGCCACCAAAGACAGTCGCCTCCGCTCGGTCGGTTGGGCCGTCATAGTCGCTAGCAGGCACAATGGCGACTTTTCGGTCCTTGGCACCCTGTCGGGGCTTTTGCCGGCCCCCGCCTCCGTCCCGGAAGGCGAAAGTGAGGCTATCGCCCAGGCCCTCCTTTCCTCTCGAGGCACCTTCGACCTCACTTGCGACTGCCAGCCTGCTCTCCGGAGCCTCCAAGGCCCCTTTACCAAGCGCACCTCGCTTGTGTGGTCTAAGGCGTGGGACCACAGGCACAGAGCCGAGCCACACTGGGTCCGCTCCCACCTGAACTCCTCGGACTTTTGTCTTGAGTTTGGCGCTGACGCCTTGTGGCGCCGCGAGCTCAACTCCCTGGCAGATAAGCTCGCCAAGGACCGCGCTGAGGAAGTTCAGACTCCTCACCGCCTTGCCGCCCAGAAGGAGGTTGACCGGGTCACCTCCCTCGTCTGCGAGTACTTGGGCCGTCGCGCCGCTGCAATCCTTGCCAAGGCCGAAAAAGAGGACTTCGTCCCGCGGAAGAACCGCCTCCTCTCCGCCCTTGAGTCCTCCGCTTCTCCCTCGCCCAACAAGAGGCAGAGGTTGCAGGCTCTTCTCGACGAGCCCTTTCTTCCTGGCGGGCACGTCTGGTCCCGCACCTCAAAGGAAAAGAGCTTTAACCTGTGTGTTAAGTGTTCTGAGTGCTCTTTGTGCATTTACCAGGTTGACACACCGGAAACCTTTGAGCGCCTCATTGCCTTCCCGTGCCGAACGGCTGCGGTTTCGTGCCCTTTTGCTGCTCACCCCTCGCACACCCTCGTGCGCCAGGGGCCGTCCTGGAAGTGCAGCCAATGCCACGGTCACGTGACCCTCCGAATGGGCGCCGCGCCAAAAAAGCTCGTAGCGCCCTGTGCGCTTTTTTCGGTGAGGGGTTTCTTTTCTCTAAAGGTTCTTCTCTCTCTGGGCCCCAGGCTTTCCCTCCTGCCTCTGCTGCTGCCCCTGTGGTTCCCCCTGTGCCCTGCTCTTGGGGTCCCCTTCAGGGTTCTGCCCCTGCTACTGCCCTCACTTCGGTTGAGGTCCTAGCACCCAAGGCTTCCTTTCCCCTCGAAGGTGCTGGGTCCCCTTCGGAGGTTTCTCAGGCCCAGGCTCCCGAAAGCCTTGGTTCGTCACTTGAGGCCCCGGCTTTAAAGGCCCCAGCTCCCAAAAGCACCCCTGCCTCCAAGCCTAAACCAAAGTCCCGGCCCAAGCCTAAGCCCAAGCCTCCTCCTCCCTGTCCTTGTTAGCTTCGGCTCAAGGAGGGCACCATGGCGCCCAAGGGCCGCCACGCTCGCGAGCAACAGGAGCGATGGGACCAGACAGGGATCTGGCACAGCACAAGCTCCCTGTCCAGACGCAAGTTGCGTCCGGACAAGGCAGCACGCGCTAAGGCCAAAGCGCGCCAGGAGCAGGACCGTGAGAGGGTCCAGGCGAAGCCGCCCCCCACCCCTCCGCCTGCTCCTCGCCGAAGGGCTGAGGTTGACGACGAGAGCGGGTTGAGCGTGAGACGATGCCAAGCGCCCTGCCCCCCCCGCCTTGCTTCGATCTCGAGATGAAGCACATCCGGATCTTTGCGCTTTGGCGGGGGGGGGCGGGGGGGTTGGGCCTGGCAACGGGGGGTGGGAGGGGGGGGTTGTCGGCCGGCCTGGTCGCAGGCTGGAGGAGGAGGACGAGGAGGAGTCATCTGACTCCACCTCCATTGCAACCTCAGCCACAGGGGGCGAGGGGCCGGCAGAGCCCGACGACTTGCTGGCCGTCGTCCGGTTCGTCACGCGGCGCGGAGAAACGTCGCGGCTGGCAGGCATGCCCTGCCGCAGCGCCAGAATATGGCCTAACGGTGGGTTCCTCCCAACCCACCGGTCCGTAGGATCGCAACTCCCGTCAGGAGTTCGCTGGTTGCTCGTGGACGAGCCTCGCCCCTGGCGGCTGAGGTTCCCCAACGAGTGGTGGCACCCGAGCTCCCCCCAGCAGCCTCCTCGCCTTCGGCTGAGGTTTCCCTCCCCTGTGCCCGCTCCGGAACCAACCGGTCCTCCGATGAGCTTTCACCCCCGTAACCGTGGGCCTCCCCCAGCCACTGCAGGAGTTGCTTCCTCAGCCCCGGCTGGCTCTCGCCCGCTGAGTCCTCAAGCCGGTTCCAAGGGCCTCCCCTCGCCTGCCCCAGCCCAGCCCCCGGCTGTGGGTCCTGCCTCCTCGGCCCTAGCAAAGGCTCCACTTTCGGGCCTACCTCCGGCTGAGGTTGCAGTGTCTGCTTCAGTTGGTCCTGAGCCATAGGCTACCGACCGGCCCTTCTCTGGCCTCCTGGCACTTCGGCAAGGCAGGGTGAGCCTGCCTCTTCCATACCCCGTGGCCCGGGTAAAGGGGCCACCGCTGCTTCGGCAGCTGCACCCCCCTGGAAGTGGCCCTCTTGAGACCCTCGCCTCCCTGGCTGAGGTTTCGGGTCTCTCCACGTCCCAGCCGGACCCTGAAGAGCCGGCCTCGATGGCCTCGCTTCTGTTGCCGAGTCGGAGGGAGCCCAGTCCTACCTTCCCGAACCCTTCAGGGGTCTCGGGAGACGAAGCTACGGACTCCCCGAGCCCCTCCCCTCGCCGGCCGGCTCGAGGTCCGGCTCCAGCTGAGGCACGTGAGGAGCCGCCCCCACGTTCAAGTTTTCAGCGAGAACTTTCTCCGCTGTTTTGCATGCGGGGTCGCTACCTCCAATCAACAACTGATGGAGGCCCACGCCATGACGGCGAGGCACGTCCGCCTCACCACGGCCTACGTGGCCAAGCGACGGCGTGAACTGGCAGCGGCAAAAGCTGCCCAGCCTCCTGTGCCGTAGGCTCTGAGCTTCTGGCACTCTTCTCCTAAGGCACACCTCTGGCTCCTTCCTCGCCTTTTGGCTGAGGTTCGACCCTGCAGCGGTGCTTGGGAGTGCCCTGGGCATCCCTCGGTTCTTTCCTCGCCTGTTCCGCTGAGGTCTGCTCCTGAGGCAGCTAGCCCGCGCCCCGGTAGAACCCGCCTGTACAGTCTTTGGTAGGGCCTACCCCTCGTCTGAAAACGACTGAGGTTGGCGGGTGTAACTAGCCACCTGTAGTCTAGGACGTAGGGCCGCCCTCGCCCAAAGTGGCTGAGGTTCTTCTCACTTGCATGTGAATTCATCTTTCTGACTCGTCTCGGACGGCTCGCAGCCCGGCGAAGAAAAGTTGTACCTCTGAGCTGCCTGTTGAGTGGTGGAGCCGCTCAGTGTGCTGGGCTGCGATATGTATATCATCAGGCTGCTGACTGCAGTTTGGAGTGCAAGCCAATTTTTCCTGCGATTCCTGGAATTTTCTGAGGTGCAATGGTTATCTGGATATATTCTGCATGGTTTTGGTTTTGCAGAGGTTTTCTCAAAGCACTGGAAGATTTTCACTGGGAGCTGCGGTTTTCATGGCATGGAACCTTGGTTTTCAGCTGCGAGAACAGTTTTCGACATGTGGCATGAGTTGCTTGAGCTTTTGAGTGAGATGAGTGAATGCTGTGAGCCGTTAGTCCGCATGAGTTCTCGAAGGCCTCAAGGTACCTTCTCGAACAGCTGTAGTGTATGCGAGTTTGTTTGCCAGCGTGGAGCTTGTAGGAAGCTGTGACGGTATGCTTTTGAAGCGAAGTTTTGTTTTGACATGTGCTGAAGCACATGTGAATCCGGAGTGCCGCGCTTATGTGTGGCTCAAGGCTGGAAAGCTTTGAGACTGAAGCTCGTTGAAAGAATGGGCCGATGATGAAACACGTTCTGAGGCTCATTAAAGCAAAGCTGCAAAGCTTTTGGTGACAGCAGTGCAGTGCAAGAACAGCTGAACACTTCGTTTGTTGCGCGAGCAAAAGTCTGTGCAGACCTTGACGGGTTGTTCAGGGTTTGTAAGTTTTACACCACTGTTCGTTGATCCACCACGAGGCTGCTTCGCTTGATTGCGACTTGGTCTCATTGCGCCTGGTTCGGCGGGGCTCGTTTATCCTGCACAGTTATTTGCCCGGTGTGGCCTTTATGCTTTCCTTGCTAAACCCATGATGATGCATGCGGCCATTGCGCTCGCCATGGCTTACGGTGAGCAGAGCCAGATCGTTATGGATAGGGCCATTGCGCTCTCCAGGCTTTACGGAGGGCAAAGCCAGTGAGAGGGTATGAGGTCGCGCATTTTGCGGGACTTGGCGGGCACCGAAGCTGAACGACACTTGCCGGCAAAGTCTGCGCGTCGCAGCTTGTTTCATCGTTTTTGGGTAGTTTCTTCGTGTGCTAGGTTTCTTGTTTTGCCGCCAAGATGTTGCACGGAGCTTGAGGCCTGGCGAGTCCTCCTTGTTCCTTTAGCGCTTGCGTGCCTGGGCTTGGTTGGGCTCTCTTGTGCTGGACTTATCGGAAGGAACGGGGGAGATGCCAGAAATTGGATAATGTCGGCGGTTATCTCAACGAAGCTATGCCTCCCAGGAAGCACCTCATAGATTCATGCGTCAATGATTGTGTTCACGAAAACGTTCAGTTTGCATATACCTTTCCTGTTGGAAAGCGGCACGGGCTTTAAGAGATCCTGTAACCTGCCCTGGCTTTGTGGTATTGCTAGTTGATCGATGGGAAATTTGTGTGGAAGCGCACGTCGGCTCCTCGCACATCGATGTACCATCTTCCCTCCCATATGAGGTCAAAGAAGGACGTTCTGTTCAATAGTTGTGTGCTGTTGTATGTCAGTCCGCGTTGTATGGCATACACACATATACACACATCAGCATGACACAGGCACACATTGCTATAAACGCTCTGCGACGGGGTGCGCGTTGCCGTTGTTTCGATTGTTCGTCGACCATAGTGTACGCAGCACCGTTGCACACGCGAGTCAACGCTTTGCCGTCGCGCTGCTATGTCGACCGTTGGACATGCGACCCAACGAAATAACGGCTCTACACATTACACAAGGCTCCAGGACGTAGCCGGCAGACCTCCAACGGGCCGCTTGATGATCTTCATCATTGACGCGGTACACCCGACATCGCGCACCAACTCCAGGTTTGCGATGGCTGGTTGTGCGGATGGCCATGCCAGTGATGCATGGAAGCTCAAGAGTTCACAAGCCGTGGACGGCTTTGAGACGAATTTTCGGCTTTCGAAAGCGTGATTATGATGTCAAGTCATCAAATCGAGAAACGGCAAAGTTCGGCAGTTGACAAACTAGTTGTCGAAATGTAGGATTTCGGAAAACTTTTCACGTAAGAATCATTAAGAGTGAGAAATGACCAAAGTCATGCGCCGGCATTTGGCCGGAAGAACGTCCAGTTCGTGAAGAACATCAACGATCCGCCGAACAATGCGAGCGTCGCAAATGCGAAATTTCAGCGGGACAAAAACGTAGACTGCACCGTGCAAAACGCAGATGTATACCCGCACGGCTCATGCTGCCGTCGAAACGGCAAAACGCTCCAATGGCAATCGTACCCATGAATATTGCAGCATGCGCAGGCTAGCTTGACATGTATCAGATACAAGCTGCATATTGTTGTTGTTTGCAAACAACGTCCCTCATGCTCGGCAAGGATGGCATTGTGTTCAGGCCAAATCGCTCGCGAAATCGGTTTGGCCGCTACGGCCTCGCCGCAGCAGCCCACCCGGCAAACCGAACACCGGAGCGCCGGAGATCGTACGGTGCCCCCAAGCGGTTTAGCAAGCTCATGTTTTTTTGAGGAGCTGAGAAACTGTGACAACTGTGCTGGCTTACGATCCTTGTTGGGGTAGTGACAGCCATGTGTCGCACACAAACGTGTGGTTTGTCACGTGTGGTTCGCCCATCACGCATGCCTGACGTGTCGAACACGCCCTCGTCACACATTTGTTTAGGGATTTTAGGGTTTACAACCTATTCTTGTATAACAGGCAAGCATGCCTGAAACTACAGCGGTCATGCACGCGTATGCGTCATTAGATATTGGCGTGGCGCATCTGGGATGGAACTTGGATGCGGAGCGCTTGCTCTGTGTCGCACAGGTGTGTGTGTGAGTCTCGGCACATGCGCCGCACTCCTTGAGCTTTACTTGACCATGGAACCGTGTGAGATTCGGGCAAAACAAAATCGCACTGTTTGGTTACGAAAGTTAGCAGGAGTTTTGATAGACGCTGCTCCCAGCACGAAACTTGATGTAGGTTTTCGTATTTGGACTCGCGATCACACGTGCGTGGCACACTCGTAACACCTCAAGCCGCCGACCAACCAAAACTGGTGCTGCCCAATCCTCGACTTTGAGTTTGTGAACAATTCGGGTGATCAAACTGCTGAGCTGGTGCGCCTTCTCGTCCGTATGCACTCGCCAGGAAAATACTGTTTCGGGTCTTGTCATCTATATGAACCTGGTTGGTTTTAACGTTGTCATGCCATGGACATGTTGTGATGCCACTGATGCGTGTCCGGAGCGGGTACTTGCGAGATCAAGCTTCTACATGGGGCGGGTGCATTTGAAATCGTGGGTCCATTCTCATTCGTGACAGTCGTTGTCCGTTTGCGCCCGCCCAGACCTCCGGGGATAAAGTTTAGGGGGGGTGTTTAAGAGTCGCCTTCGGGATTCGTCGTGAGCTGGCCCAAATTCTTTCCATTGAACTCCGGAGCCGTGAAAAAACGGGTGGGGCACGGAGGGCCATCGGGGCCTGCCTGGGACAACATCCACGCGCGTGAAGCTGGGTCAAGGTCAGAAAAAAATTCGCGCAGGCGGATGCGTCCAAGCGGGCCGCGGCGGCTCGCTGACACCCTCACAGCCGCCCTCAGCAAGTTTATCCCTTTTTCCGCCTGCGGACGGTCGGAGCGCCCCAGTCCTACGTCACTCCCAAATTCGTGAAGCCAACAGGCCGCCTTCCAGCAGGACTCCTACTCCTGCTAGGCTGCTCCTGCTCCTGCACTTGCTTCCAACCTGGAAACGCTGTAGCAAGGACAATTGGAAGCTTACATGGTTTCGGGTGTTGATGGTCATATAGCTAAATTGGAAACCGCCAATTGCGCATCGTTTGGAGCGAAACCAAGATAGCTGCTCAAAAGGTTGCGGCTACCCGTGCCTATCGGGCCCCGCCGATGCCATTGCGGAGGTGACTTCGGCGCTCGGTGACCATCGCGCCGCTTGCCCGACCGCCGGTGTGCTTGGGAAGCGTGGGACAGCGTTGGAGAGGGCGGCCGCGCGCGTCTGCCGCGAGGCGGGAGTGCGGGTGGCCGCCAATGTCCTCCTGCTGGACATGAATGTTGATGTGCCCTTGACCCACGGCCGCCGCATCGAGGTGGTTTACCCGTGTGGCAGGGCGAGCAGGCGGCTGTCGACACCACTTTGGTGTCACCAGTCACGCCGATCGTGTCCCAAGCACGGCGCTTGAGCAAGCGGCGAGACGCAAATGCTTGCGCACTTACCTCGAACTTGCAGTCGCTCGCCGTTGCAAGTGGGTTGTGCGGGGCCATGCTGGGCCTTCAAGTTGGCGGCAAGTTTAGCCGAGAGGCTGGCGCCTTCTTGCGACAGCTGGCCAAAGCTCGCGCCCGTGAGTCGCCAGCGCGTTTACGCCCGGCCGTGCGACGTGCCTCGTTGTACCGTTGGGCGGGCACGGGAGCGGGCGAGTGCGACGGCGCCAACCCGCTCTTTGCAACCTGCTGGCGGATGCTCGTGATGCATTGGCCGTGCCCGTTAGCCGCTTCCCAGCCGCGTGACGTACGCCCTGCTGGACGGCGGCATGTTGGCTTTCTGACGTGTAGGAGCCATGTAGGAGTGGGGCGCTCCGACCGTTCGCAGGCGGAAAAGGGTATCTAGAAAAAAAAGGTGTTTGTCATATCTGGGTCCGAATCGGTAGTGGGAGTAGGAGTAGGAGTTTGTAGAGGTACGGCTATGGGTAGGGGTATAGGAGTAAGGGTTGGAGAAAGACTGAGAATACGCGTAGGCCCAACTGTCGTCCTCGGCACCAATACAGGCGGCAGTCTCAACACTGAGACAG